GGGGGCCCTCACGGGTTGACCTGGGTCTGTGGGTCGGGTGACCTAGGCCTGACACTCACCCACCTGTCACCCACCCACCTGTCACCCACCCGCTCAGGTGACCCGGCCTGATGTTGACCCACCTGTCACCCACCCAGGCTGCCTAGCCCTGACCCGCCCTCATCCCACCCAGATCACCTTATCAAGACCCGCACCTGACGCAATGTCCTCGTGGGTGGGGTGGGTGCGGGTGGGTGTGGGTCTAGGTACCCGGTGTTCATCTCTGCCATGCAGATGACGCGACACTTCTAGCGTATCTTCCTGTCGCCCAGGAGACAAGAGATGGGGTTTGCAAAGCATCGCGTTCAGGCAACGCAAAGCCGTCATATTGCACTCAGCACTGTCTGTGGTGTTGCAGGCTGCGAAGCATGCGTCGCATGAAGGCATTGTTTATGATGATGCGCGCTGGGGAAAGGTAACAGTGCACCCTTTCCTGCTGAATTATATTCAAGACTACCCTGAGAGGTGCGTCATCGCAACGGTCAGATACGGTGTATGCGCGACGTGCACAGTATCAAAATCTGATTTTGTTGTCATTGCGAACTTCAATAACTGTCGTCGATCACAAACCATGTAACGTGCACTTCTAACCGAATTCCATTCGACGGACAACGACGATGTTCATCGCATGACGAAGACACAATTGTCCAACTTGAACATGCACACGCATGTGAAACAGAACGGGCTGTGGGGATTTTATAGGGGTTCTGAAGACGATGATCCTATGTTCGACTACCACCTGGCTCTGCAACCGGACCGCATGCACACCATCGAGCACGACATATTTTTGCACATGTTAAACGCTTTCAGAGCAGCTGCCTTTGACAAGTTAAACCACGTCCCACAAAGCCATGTGTTGAAGAAGTTGGATGCGAGGTTGCAGACGCTGAGCGAGAGAAGCAGTACTACGTATCCACAACTTGTGCTACCCGTAGCAACAGGTAGCGACTACTTCTCACGGGAGGGGCGTTTCGAAGCTAAGTAGAACCGGTCGGTTATGACAGTGTGCATATTCACAGTGTCCAACATTATCCCTGGGTCGGTGGGGAAAAAAATAACATCTTGTTTCAAGAAACTAATGGAACTGTACATCTCAATGTTCCGGTGCACAAAGCATTCAAGCCCTTCGCTTGACACATGTGACAATCTTATTATGGACTTCATAACAACCCTCAAACAGGTCATGCGTCATTATCAAACCTCCAATTAAAAACTGTCGAAGTTGCACGACCTTCTGCATTTGAGGGCGTGCATCGAATGTTCAGGTCTCCCAGACAGCTTCGCAGCCAATGTGTGGGAGCACCACCACCAGAAGTTTTGTAAACAGCCTTTCTTTTCGTCGAGCAAGCGCAACGCTTCGTTTCAAATGGTGAATCATGTGCGACGGGCCGTCACATTCGACGACGACATTGAACGTGCACGTAAACAGAGGAAGAGGACAACTGAGAATTGGTCGTCCGTCATGGAGTGCTCGGCAAGCGGAATGAACACACTTGCCGCACGCGATACGGCGAAGTTGCATCTTCAATTTCCCCCCCGCGAAAATGCGGTATTCAATGAGAACGAAGGTGCGACGGGAACCGCGAAAGCGGTATTGGATGCCCTCCCTTGCAAGGACTTATTTCAAGAAGCTCTTCGCACGTACATATCGAAAAACGGGTGCAATCCACCGCATGAGGACATGTTAATATGCACAAGAACGCATCTTGCCATCGCAGCAACCGCCGATGGAACAACCAGGGGGGCACTTGTGCAAACTGGGAGGGTTTCGCCCAACTTCCACGGGAGAGAGGTGCACAGTGATGTTGCTGTGAGGGCACAGACAGGAAGTATTAGGTATGCATCTGTGGCAATGTTTTTTGTCATGAACACCTGTACGAAAGAAGTGTCCATCACGCATGAGTGCGCCTTTGTAAAATGGTACAAAGAGGCTGACACTGAAAGTGCAGATGTGACAGGGTGCGAAAAATTGAAATGGGAAATGGTAAATGATCGCCACCTGTGCAGCGTCATCTCCGTTGACAGCATCACGAACACTGTCCACATTGTTCCATGTTTCGCAAAACCACAATGGGGTTCACCGGAGACTTATGGAAGACAACGCGAGGACACTTTAGATTTGTATTGTGATATGTGGCTTGCGGCACTGAACGGTGACTGCGCGGTCCGATTGGGTAGTGCGTGCCAATTAAAGAAACACCACTCACGCACGACATCTTTATGGCCCCCACCATCTCTCTCTCTCTCTTTCTCTCTCTCTCTCTCTCTCTCTCTCTCTCTCTCTCTCTCTCTCCCCCCAAGCCCTGTCATCGCGTGACGAAGGAACGATAACCGAAACTGACGCAAGAAAGCTCGTGAAAATGCTGATGGCTTGTTTACAGGTAGAATGTCACATATTACGAGGAACAGTACTGAACGCTCAGCATTGGCAGCAGACATGACCACGAGGAGAGGGAAACGATCAAGAACAACACGAATGCGGACAACCGAAGAGAAAAAAAATGTCGGAGATGACAGCGTGGCAGAGGTCACGATCGATAGCAATCAAGAGAAAACAATATCGACAAAGCAGGAGAACCCAGAACGAAGCAAAGTGGAAACGCAAAAGGTCGACAAGGGAGCGTCGCACACCGAGAAGAGGCCACAAGCCACAACAAGAGAGGACGGCGGCGAAGTGCACATGATGACAATGAAGGCTATTTCGGAGAGATGGGAGCACCTGTCACAGAAGGACCCGTGGTACAACAGAATGTACTTGGCAGCTACAAGGGGAACAATTCGGTCAGCAGATCTTGGACAAGGAGAATCATGCGGGAAGATGACACAGGCAAACAAGGACAATAACGCATCAAGCTCGTCGGACGAGTTTGAGGTTGTTGACGAGACGAATATATATTCACTCATGTGGAAAGGCAAAAGGGAGAAGATCCGACTGGCGGAGGCAGATGTGATGTGCCTGGCCGTTGGGAAGTGGCTCAATGACAATGTGATGGATATGTATTTGATATCCATATACGAAGAGCAATTGCAAGGTAAGGACACTGCAGCAGTGAATGTGTGCACAACTTTTTGGCATCCGGAGGTGCTCGCGAATCAGAAAGTCGACACAGTGAAAAGGGGATGGGAGTTGCGTGTGAAGAGTTGGACGACCAAAATTCATCGACTGTGTAAAGACTTGGAGGTTGCACCGGTCGTGCTTATTCCAATTAACCACAAGCATCACTGGATATTGCTCATAATGTTGAATGTAAGGGAGTTTTGGACTGACTGCACATGCCCCGACGCCATAATCGTCGACTCGTGTGACGGATACGCCACTCCAGATTGGAGGGCGTTGCGGACATTAATGTGGCACGAGTACCTCAACGACAAAAGAAGGGGTCCGGATGTCGCACGCCAACTGGTGGACAAGTCGTGGAACACTTGCAGAGATGTGTTTGGTCGTGGACTAATCCATGCGAGGTTTTCACAACGAAGTAACAGAGAGGATTGTGGTGTGTATGTATGTTGCATGGCAGAAGAGTTGATAACAAAGTTGGCACATCCTCCAACCGAGAATGGTGTCTCGAAAGACGACATACTGGAGATTGTAACGAAGATGCACATCGATGGAAGAATCGTTGAACACTTCCGTAGGAGAGCTGTCGATCGCATTGTAGAGTGTGCAGCAGCAGTGTAAGGTTTCACGAGCCTTGGAGCATGTTGGACGATAGCTCGTGTCATGAGAGCGACCATAAAAAAAAATGGTGGCGAACTGCCTTAGACAAGTTCGACAGGCCATGTCGCCCGGGATGATCGAGGAGGACGACTGTAGTTGTATATTAAGAGGAAGTTGGCAAAGACTGCATCACGTTTTGTTTGTTTTTTTGCATGAATGTTAAATCTTCTCCTGTCAACATATAATATAAGAAACATCTCTCTCTCTCTCTCTCTCCCTCTCTCTTTCTCTCTCTCTCTCTCTCTCTCTCTCTCTCTCTCTCTCTCTCTCTCTGTTTCTCTATCTCTCTCTCTCTCTCTCTCTCTCTCTTTGAACAATGTTCAGGTCGATTCGCATTTAAAAGTTGTGTATACATTATGGAGCGATTGAGTAAATACCTCATAACTGGAATGTTGTGTGTGTCATGTACCTTTGCAATGGCACCCCGCCGCAGGTACGAAGATATTGCTTCATCATTAAAGCAAGTACAGGAAACACACCCACCAGCACGCCTGAGGGAAAAGACTGCGGTCAGGAAAGAGAAGGGGAAATTCCAGAGAGGGCAACATGAAAAAAGCAAGACATCACCTTTGCTGAAGTCACACGCGGACCGTGCTGCGGTCACGACGTCGTGGAAAGCAAACAGGTCTGACTTCAATAAACGACAACGAGAGTCGGTCCCCGCCTCCCCGGCATCCACGAAGAATCGCATGCGACAGGATCGATCTCCGCCACAGGCGCCAAAGAAAAGGTCATGTGCAGAAGGGGTGGAAGTACAACCTCGGCACAACATCACAAATGCGAAGAGGAGGAGAATTATTGAGGGGGAGGAGGAAGGGCAGGAGACAATTGATTTGAGGGGATCCGAAGGTGTAGAGGTCGTCAACACCGAAAAACGGCATGAGTCACGGGACACAGCAGGTCAGACGCAAAGGTCCGACGCGAAGGTTTCGAAATTGGACACAGCAGGTCAGACGCAAAACTCCGACCCGTATGATGAGACAAACGATGGTGAAGGACGTAACAAGGGCACATGCGACGAAGGACAATCGTACGGAGAAGATGCGAGCAAGGAGGAGGAGGACAGCGAGAAAGGGTATAACAACACAGAGGATAGCGATGGCGAGGTCAAAGAGGAGGAAGACATATCTCGGAGCAGCATCAGGGAAGAAAGGTGTAGCGAAGACAATACACAAAACACGTCTCGAAAAACGCAAGGAGGAAGAAGTCACGGACGCAGGCACGATAGCAACGCCAACAAGCAGTTAGTTCTCAAGGAGAAGGCAATTGAAGGACGTAAGTACGCAATGTATGAGAAAAATAAAAATATATGAACACAAATGGCTAGTCGATATGTTATTTTGCTCTGACTGTTGTTGTTGCGTGCCTGTTCTGCGAAATGGTAGCGAACAGTAAATGTTGTTCGATAAGAAAATTTTGCGTAGGCTGCAAATGAGTAAGTGCAGTTGCGGTTGTTTCTCCTGCCAAGCGAATGTACGAATATGGTGGATACCAACTTCGAACTTCTGGTTGTTGACACGCGCTCTGCAGGCCGCCATATTATACCAGGAGGGAGACGGCGTGACGAGGACTCAAAAGAGGCAAGGTGTTCGGCAGGTGGCACGGAAGACGAATGTCACCTATTCGGAAAAAAACAAAAAGACAGACTGCTGAGGTCTGTTGCAAAAACTTTTGTGCACTCAATAGCGAGGGACGCAACATTCTACCCGTCGGAGGACGACTTCTTCAATGCGTTGGAGTTGGTTGCTACCCTTTTGGGAAAAGATGTGAGGGCAGGTTGGGGAAAGTATGTAGAAGAGAACGGTTTGCAGACTGTGCTCATATATTGCAACCGAATGATGACAACGGTCCATGGAGAGTTGACTTGGCACTTGAGACACTGGTTTTGGGCGGAGAGAGGTGTTCCCCTCGTACGTGGCGCGCAGTCGGATCACAATAACACCGTGCGAAACGAACTACGTAGCCAGATGAACAAAGACAAAACATGGAGAAGGAAGGGCGATGAGCTATGGGGAGCAGAACATTTCAAGAGGGCACAACAGCCAGGACCCCCAGGAGCAAAAAATTCCGACCAGATTTCGGCAAAAAAAAATCAGTTTTGATTTCGTTCAAAAAATATAATATGTCTGTTTTGACGAAATGGCTGTTGCACTCACAAAAGTGTTCCAAATACGAAAAGACGGCGGGAAGCTCGGCGTGACGTTGCAGCAACTAGCGTTCACCGAACTCGTGATCTGCACAGAAATAAAACAGACAAAGAAGTCAAGCAAGGCGTCGGATCAGTTGATGCAAATGGCCAATATAAAGAATGACATAGTGAATACGGCCCGGAGCCGGGACACAGTTATGAGTTTCTGCATTTTCAAGCTCGAGCACGACACACACGTGGCAGATCTGGCGACACAGTACTACAAAGCAGGGAACACACGGAGAAACACACGTGCGGGTGACAACAACAGCAACAGCGAACAGGACTTTGAATTCGAAGTGTTAGTCTCGCAGACACAATCGCGAGCTTCATGCTGAGGACCTTGCAAACCTATCCCGGAGTCACACTCCTGTTGTTCTCACGGATGACACAGGAGTCAAGATGTGGTGGTACTGCGTGTGTGCAACTCTTGCCACAACAAGACGTGGAGAGAGAGAGAGAGAAAAAAAAAAAAAAAAAAAAAAAAAAAAAAAAAAAAAAAAAAAAAAAAAAAAAAGAGAGAGAGAGAGAGTTTCGAAGTGTGAAGCTAAAGCATTTAGCACGGGTGTCGTGCAATGTAACCGAGTTACTGTGGCAGTGGTAGGCAGCGGTGCGTCGTGGGTAGCACTTCGTATGACAGCGGTGCCTTAATGTCATTATGTGGCCCCCTCAACAGGACAATGCGACTGGAAGTGCCCTACACTTGGGAGCGGGAAACAAAGCGAGACTCGCGAGAGAGAGAGAGAGAGAGAGAGAGAGA